GTCCGGGCTGGGGATTCGAACCTGCCACCTTAGGTGTACGTGGCTGGCGCCTTAGCCAGTTGAGCTATAGGCGCCGAGCCTAGATCATCTTTTTCAATGGCAGCAAATATTTCAATCTTGTATAGATGGATGTTTAGCTTGTTTTCAACCTATAATCACTATCAATTATGTTGTGAAGACTATAGGATTATCTTTCCCTATAAGTTGCAAAAGGTTAGTGACTTAAATAAAATGAAAGCACATTTCTCTCGAGTGTAGAAGAGTGTGGAGAAAAACGAGGCTTTATCTAATATTTCACTCTGTAGTTAGATGTGAAGCTGCTGTTTCTAGAGTTAACTCTTTAGTTTTAGGTTGGCTACTATTTATTTTAATGATTTCAAGCCCCCAAAAGGGAAAGGGAAAAAAGGAATCAAAAGGCATGAGCTGCTACCTTTTTAAGAAAATTTCCTGGAAGTTACACAAACAACTTTTAATTGTAGCCTGTTGACCAGCATTTAGTTCCCTGGCAACACCTAGTTGCATGGAAGGCTTAGACTATGTAGTCTTTCTCTGGCTTATTGTTAAAAGCAGGGCTCTTGTCAGGAAAGAAGTGAAAATAGGTGGTAGCCAACCAGCAACCTCTGTTGGATCAAGCTGTACATACATCTTTGCAGACATTCCTAATTATTCCACTTAGATAAACTCATAGATGTTCATCACCAGTTTAAAGGGTTTACCTCTTATTCTCATGTATCCATCTGCCCCTTAGAAAAGTACCAACTTGTACTCCCACCCCCAACATCAGACAGTGCTTTGTTTTCCCACACACTTATGGCTCTTACTGGTCTTTTATATTTTTGCCAATGTGACCAGCAAAAAGATGTCATTGTAGTTTTGATTTGCATTTGTTGTACTCCTGATGAGGCTGAGCAGCATTTCAGTAGTATGACTAGTATTGTCATCTTAGTGACTTGACTTTTTAGTTTTTTTGAACATTTTTTCTGAGGAATTTTTAGTATTGTCATCTTAGTGACTTGACTTTTTAGTTTTTTTGGACATTTTTTCTGAGGAATTTTTTTTTTTTTGAGACAGAGTCTCAAGCTATTGCCCTGGGTAGAGTGCTCTGGCATCATAGCTCATAGCAACCTCCAACTCTTGGGCTCAAGTGATATTATTGCTTCAGTTTTTCTGATTTTTAGTAGAGATGGGATCTTGCTTTTACTCAGGCTGGTGTCGAACTTGTGAGCTCAAGCTGTCCACCCTCCTTGGCATCCCAGAATGCTAGGATTACAGGCATGAGCCACCACACACAGCCCTTCTGAAGGATTTTTAAAACATTTTTCTCTTTTTGATTTATAAGAACTTTTATGATACTTTAATAATAAAGAAAATAACCCTTAGATACTTATGTTAGATATTTTCTGTGTTGACTTTCACCCATATTTATTTTTTTGTAGCTAAATCTGTCAATGTTTTGACTTACAGTGTTTGCCTTTCATATAATAGGAAAGGGCTTTCCTATCTCAAGATTGTTTGTTTCTAATACTTTCATATTTCTAATATTTCTATCTTCTTTTTTATTTGAAAAATTCTCCATTTAGAATTTTTTTTTGATTAGGCCTACTGTCTACCTCAGTTCTTATCATTTTCCTCAAATAGTGAAATTATCACCCATGTGTTGAAAATATTTTTCCATTGCTTTTTGATAAACCCATCATATGCTAAATTTCTATTTATGGTTGAGTCTTTTTGAAATTACTGATTGATCTTTTGCAGTAGTTAAGAAATACATATTTCAATGATTTTTCAGCCTTACGACAAAGAAGGCGGCCAAGAATCAAGTGAAGAGGGCACTGAAGAAGATGTCGAGGTAGTGGATGAAACAGCAGATGGAGCAAAAGTCAAGCAAAGGTACAGAGGTGTGAGAGGATTTATCAAAGTAGGTTTAGGAAACTATCTTTTTTTTTTCCATTATAAATAATTCAAGAATTTCTTAAAATGGGGACAGTGTGCACCTTGAGAGCTTCTCATGTTGTTATTTGCTTAAATATCATTATTACTTTAACATTTTTAGTGTTATTTAGTTCTGTATTAGTTTCATCTAAAGACCATCCAATTTTCAGAATTTATTGACAATTACGAACATTGTTCTCTCATAAGTGAAGTTCTCTAATTGAGTGAATGGGTGTAACCTACCCTCTCACTTCCTTTGCTGTTTTGTTTCCCCAGAACTGATTCTCACTGGAGTGCTGTTCAGAAAGCTATCTCAGAGGTTAGTATCTTCTGTCTTGCTAATGATGTCTGGTTTTATTACCTAAGAGTTTTGACTGACCTCAGATGTAGAACCAAGAGATAGATATGGAAGATTACAGTGGATCTTTTTTTTTGTTTTTGAGACAGAGTCTATGTTCCCTTGGTATAGTGCTGTGGCATCACAGCTCATAGCAACCTCAAACTCTTCGGCTTAAGCAATTCTCTTGCCTCAGCCTCATAAGTAGCTGGGACTACAGGTGCCTCCCACAATGCCCGGCTATTTTTTTTATTGTTGTTCTCATTGTTGTTTAGCAGGCCCAGGCCACGTTCAAACCCACCAGCCCTGGTGCATGTGGCCGGCGCCCTAACCATTAAGCTATGGGCACTGAGCCATAGCAGTGGATCTTAAACAGGGTGTAGAACATAGAAAGTACAGAGCAGAAGAGATACATTTCTGCTTTAGTAAGCCTGTGATCCAAGTAACATTTCTTATTAGGCCTTTTATAGAAAAAGAGTAGATAATCTCATTCATGTATGATTTGAGAGCTTGGATACATTCTCATTGATCCTACCTGAAATTTTTGTCATTTGGATGAAAAATGATATTAAATTTCAGTTACTATTGTCTGTAATCCTATAATTTAAAAAATTGCATAACGTGGCTAATTTTGTTACATTAAGATGAAAATTCTTTCCTTCACTCCTGTAAGTAATCACCATTTAACAGTTTAGAAAGTATCCTTCTTAACCTTTTCTCTCCTTATTACTTACAAGGATATGTGTGTGTGAGTGTACATATACATATACATTAAAAAGTTCATTACTTCATTAGTGCATATCAGTTATTAGCATATCAGCTATGAACTTATAATGGCAGCACTGTGGAGTAAGACAGGAAAAGAGCAGGGACGTTTTGGTTTCAGCTGTACTTGAAACAGCTGGTTTGAAACACACAGCTCTGCACTTCAGGCACTGTGTAGAGCTTAGGTCTTTGGGAGAGGCCAGGATTTGGTAACAGCATCTTTTCAGGAATTTGGGGTTAAATTATAGTGTTTTTCCACTAAAGTCTGGACATGGGGATTTTCCTTATTTGGGTTATAGTTGCTCTACTGATAAAGAGAAAGTATCACAGAAGTGAAGAAACAGGAGTGAAAACAAACCAATCCATTTTGTTCTTATTATCTTCAGCAGATAAACACTGTTGATGTATTAACTTCAATGGGAGCTATTCCTGCAGGGTTCAGGCCTTCCACACTCTACCAGCTTCTGGAGGAAGGTAATATGTGCTTATCAGCCACTGCACTCTTACTTAAGCAGTCAAGGTGAGCATCTAATTGCTCTATTGTAGGCAAAACAGGTTGTCCACAGAGGTGTTGAATCTCGCATCTCTTTGTTGATGCTCATATTTTCCATGTCCTTCCTATTGACAGTGAGGAAGGATCCCTCATCCTACCAGAGGCCAGACCTTTTATATGTGCTCTGAGTTCCAGCCCCTTTCTTTTTTCAAAACAACTCCTTTGATTATCAGCTGTTTTCTGTATTTTTAGCTGGTGCCTTTCCCCACAAAGGTTCTTTTTTTTCTTTTTAGACACAAGCATTTATTGTATTTTTTAATCTTACATAGTTCTTAATACTAAGTTTCACATGGGTTGCATATGTGTAGGTAGGTCACACAGTTTGCTTTTTTTAATAAGATTAAAGTTGTAACACATTCTCCTCCATCCCAGAAGGGATGGAGTGCCATCCATGGGGCCAGACTGGGCGGGGGGGGGATGACAACGGGGTGACCGTTGGCTGTCTATAGATACTCTCTGTAAGTGGGCGCTCAGGCAGTCCAGCAAAAATTTGAAAATCACTTGCTTCTGGTGTAGCTGCCTGGGGGGTAGGGGGTGGGAGGGGGAGAATGACCCCCAAAGCAAGCAGGCCTCTCCCCTGAGTGCTGTGGACCTTCACAGAAGGTGAGGTATGGGCTTTATTTCTACTGTGTAGTTTTCTTTTCTTTCTTTCTTTCTTTTCTTTTCTTTCTTTTTTTTTTTTTTTTTTTTGAGACAGAGTCTCTCACTTTGTTGCCCTTGGTAGAGTGCCGTTGCACCATAGCTCATAGCAACCTCAAACTCTTGGCCTCAAGCAATTCTCTTGCCTCAGCCTCCCGAGTAAGCTGGGACTACAGGTGCCTGCCACAACATCCAGCTAGTTTTATTTATTTATTTTTTTAGGTGATTCTTTTTTTTACTTTTTAAAAAAAAATTAATTATTTTTTATTAAATCATAACTTTGTATATTGATGCATTTATGGAGTTCAGGATACTGCTTCAATATGCAATGTGAAATGTTTATATTGAACTAAGTAATACATCTGTCACAATAATACTCATTTCTTAATAGCTTTGAAATGTACCATTGCATCATGCACATTAGGTGAGGTCCACCAAATTCCCTCCCTCCTCCCATATTCCCCTTCCCCTCCCCTCTCTCTCCTCTTCCCTTCTACTTTCTGGCTATAGCTATGTTTTGCCATTCATATGAGTATGTAGGTGGTTATTTATTGATTTCATAGTAGTACTGAGTACATTGGATACTTTTTTTCCCATTCTTAAGATACTTTACTAAGAAGAATATGTTCCAGCTCCATCCAGGTAAACATAAAAGATGTGAAGTCTCCATCTTTTTATGGCTGCATAGTATTCCATGGTATACATATGTCACAATTTGTTAATCCATTCATGGGTCAATGAACCCTACAAAGGTTCATTTTCACATCTATAGTACCACTCTTAATACCTCCCACCCTGAGGTAGCCCCTCCAACCCTATCCCACTCTAGCCAAAGCCACCTTTTCTCTGCTTCTCTTCCTGGAAAAATTTTTTCAAAGCATTACCTCCATTTGGCCTGTTTCTTTATTAATTCTTGGATTTTACTGTACTTGGCAATTTTTGTCTATGAGCTCATCTTATAGAGGAATCACCTTGGGAAGGTCCAAGTTCTCTTGTACCTGAGTTGTTGATTATCTGCGGAAGGGCTGCTTCTGTTTTTTGGTTTTGAATTCCATTCTTTTTTTGTAAGAAAATAAAAGAAAAACTATTTTTGTAGGTAATCAATTTCGAGCAAGTTACTTCTTACAACCAGAACTCACGCCTTCACAACTGGCCTTCAGAGATCTGATGTGGGATGCTAAAGCAGGCACTGTAAGTGTAAAACTGTAACTTTTCCAGATTTTGTCATGGTTGCAAGTAAGCAAATAATATGTCAATTGATAAACTATAGAAAAGAAAAATTTATTTCTGTGTTGTAATTTTGCAATAGTGGTATTTTCATAACTAAGGGAACATTTGGACTTGTTACCTTCACTTTGTCTTCTTTAAGGCCATTGCTCTTTTCACCCATTGTTACAAAGAAAACAATATTAAGTTTCTATCTTAATTATGCTTTGCCTCAATTTTTTCATCTTTAAAAAGGGAATAATAATAATAATAGTTCTAAAGTAGAATTGTTGTGAGAATTCCATTATCTGTGTGAATGGCTTAGAATGATGCCTGACAGGTGATAAGAGCTCAGTAAATGTTAGCCAGTATCATCATCATTGTTATTAATAGGAGTACTATTATTCTAATTAGACAGGAATAAGGAAGTGGGAAGTGCTTTATGATTAGTATACCTTTCTTGATAGTGCTAAGAGTACTGGTACCCAGTATTTGAAGTTAGGAATGTTTGATATTTAATTCTACTGTCTTCCTTTTTAGACAGACATAAACTACATGAGAGCACATCAACCTCCTTCTTTTTTGTTTTTTTCTGAGACAGAGTCTCACTATGTCCCCCTTGATAGAGTGCTGTGGCATCACAGCTCACAGCACCTAAAACTCTTGGTCTTAAGCAATTCTCTTGCCAAGTAGCTGGGACTATAGGTGCCCTTCACAAGGCCTGGCTATTTTCTGTTGCAGTTGTCATTGTTGTTTAGTTGGCCTGGGCCAGGTTCGAACCCATCAGCCTCGGTGTATATGGCTGGCACCCTACTTGCTGTGCTACGGTGCCGAGCCAGCCCCCTTCTTATTTACCTCCTACTTTTTCTCCTTACCTTCTCTACAGCCACAAGGCAATAATAAGAGGACAATGTGATCAAGTTTGGTGGAATGGGTGGTGTAGAATTTTAGTACCCTTTTCTCTTTTAACCTGAGCATTGCCTGTGACCATCTTAGTGTTAGGTACATAAATCTCTTAAAAATTGTTTTTTAAAGTTTTTTATGATAATGATAATTATTACTATTATTGGAGATATAGGCTCACTCTCTCACCCCAAGTAGAGTGCCGTGGTGTCAGCCTAGCTGTTCTCAAACTCCTGACCTTAAGCATTCCTCCTGCTTCAGCCTCCCAGAGTGCTAAGATTACAGGCATGAGCCACTGCAGTGGCCTAGTATTAGGTATCTTTTATTGTGAGTGACAAATATGTTGTATTTGGTCTGTTTAGTGTACTAGTAATTGAATAAATGGCATTTAATTTTATGAACTTGTACCCAGAGAGCTCTTGAATTGAAAAGATGACAAACTTTTAGATAGTGTTTTACTTTTTGCTACAATATAAGGTACTTAAATCTAAAAGCTGTGGCCATAAAGTAGAATGTAATTAAAGCTGTTCTTAAAAAAGTAACCGCTATTCACAATCTGAGCTATACCTGTGAAGGAGATTTGAATAATCCCGTCAAACAGTGCATTCTCTCTGTCAAATCATCTATATAAGAAATGAAGGAGCACTGCAAATAATTGCTTGGAATAAAAACAAGGAGGAGTTAGCTAAATAATATTAATACCAGATGTCACTGGTTATTTTGCTGGGGTTTACCTACACTTACCCACATTGTGTAGGCATGAACTCAAGGACAGGAATACAGTGATTTTGTGGTCAAGTTATACATTTGACTGATAGTACTAGCTATTTTTATGTATTTAAGAAAAATGCAAATATTTCAAATGTAATTTTATGAAAAATTTACCTGCAGTGGCTGATTTTGATTTTAAACGAGCAGAATATTGAAACCTTTCCTCTGTCTGTGTATTTGTGAAAAATTTTTCTTTTTCCTCTTTTTTTATTAACTCTATATACATCTTATTAAGTTGTATTTGTAAAAGGTGTTTTGGAAAATAGATTTGTGTTATAAGTTAGAGAAATAAGCTTTTTTATAACTAATTTTCTTTCAGATTAGGTCAAGACCTAGTCGTGTTTCATTGATTTTGACCCTATGGAGCTGCAAAATGATTCCTCTTCCAGGAACAAGCATACAGGTTCTCAGCAGACATGTGCGCCTCTGTCTTTTTGATGGCAATAAGGTGAGATTATTGGGGAATTAAATCAATTCACACCAAGATGATAGAAAAATGTTTTGTTAATGACACATATTAAATATGTACTGCATTAAACATATACTGTCTCTCTCTGTATTCACATACAGAGAGTATGTATGTGTATGTTTGCACATGTATATGAATATATAAAAAATAACATGTGGTAGAGTGGAAAGCACACTGGTTCTGATGATGTAGGTTTAATCCTTGGCTCTTTTAGTTGTCAAGTGTGTGATGTTGGTACATTACAATTAACTCCTCTGAGCCTTAGATTTTTTTGCTTATGAGAAGGTACCTGTCTTACAGTGTTATATACAGTTCAGGTTGTAAGTGTAGAATGTTGCATTTTTGAAAATGTTTAGGCACCTGTGTAACCAATGCCCCAGTCATCATATGGAACATTGCCATCACCTCACAGAGTTTCCTTTGTGTCCTTTTTCATTCATCTCCTCCCTGATCTCAGGTCTAAACAACAGTTTGAATGACTCTTAAAAACTTTACTTCTTATGAAATATAACCTAAACAGTGCTTAAATGGAAATTTATAGCTCTAATTGCATGTACTAGGAAAGAAGAGAGACTTCTGTTTTTTAATTTTGAGTGCCATGGCATGATTCTAGCTCTCTGTAACCTTGAATGCCTGGGCGCAAGCAATCCTGCCTTAGCCCACAAAGTGGAACTACAGACATGTGCCACCATGCCCAGCAAATTTTTTATTTTTTATTTTTTTTGTAGAGACAGGGTCTCACTGTGTTCCCCAGGCTGGTCTTGAACACCTGGCCTCAAGCAGTTCTCCTGCCTCAGCCTCCCAAAGTGCCAGGATTATAGGCATGAGCCATAGCGCCTGGCAGAGGAAAGATTTAAAATCAGTACTCTAAGTTACCAGTTCAAGAGGTTAGAAGAAGAGCGAGTTAAACCTGATGAAAGTAGAAATGAGATAATAAAGATAAGAGTGTAAATTAATGAAATAAAAAATAGATGAACAAAATTCAAAAATTTAAAAATTTTAAAAAAGACAGAATCCAACTTGGCACCAGTAGCTCAGTGAGTAGGGTACCAGCCACATACACTGAGGCTGGTGATTCGAGCCTGGCCTGGGTCTGCTAAACAACAGTGACAACTGCAACCAAAAAATAGCCAGGCATTGTGGCAGGTGCCTATAGTACCAGCTACTTGGGAGGCTGAAGCAGGAGAATTGCTTAAGCCCAAGAGTTTGAGGTTGCTGTGAGCTGTGACTCCATGGTATTCTACCAAGGGCAACATAGTTAGACTCTGTTACAAACAAACAAACAAAAAAAACCCCAAAACAGAATCTTACTATTTGAAGACATTAATAAAATTGAAAGATGCCTGGTAAGACTGACCAAGAAATTTTAAAAAGAGCAAAAGAAAAACAAATTATCAATATCTGAAATGGAAATAGAGACATTATCATAGCTCCTGCTGCATTAAGAGGACAAAAAAGGGATATTATAAACAACCCTATGCTAGTAAATTTGTCAACATTGAAGAAAGGTAAATTCCTAGAAAACCGTAATTTATAGAAACTGGCACAAGAAGAAATTGAAAAACAAAACAAACCTTTAGGCCTAGATGGCTTGACTAGTGAACTCCTCCAGATATGTAAGGAAGAAATAATACCAATTTTATACACACTCTTCTAAAGAATAGATAAAGAGAAAATGCTTCTCATTTCATAAGGCTAAGAAAAGCATGATACCAAGATATAATGAGACATTACAAGAAAGAAAAATTACAAAACCAGTATCCCTGATGAATACAGAAACTAAAATCCTAAACAAAATATTATCAAATTAAATCTAGCAATAAATAAACAGGACAATATATCATGACCAATTGGAATTTATTTCAGGAATTCAAATGTACATAGCTGTGTAACCAACATTTAACATTTGAAAACTAATCGTTGTAATTTGCCATATAGAACAAAGAAGAAAAATCATGATCATCTCAATAGATATAGAAAGAGCATTTAATAAACACCCATTTATGATTTTTAAAAAATTCTCTACAAACTAGGAATAGAAACAAACTTCCTCAAATTGGTGAAATGCAATAAGAAAAAACTAAAACTCGCATCATCATACTTTACAGTAAACTATTGAACACTTTTCCCCTAAGGTTAGGAAGAAGTCAAGGATATCCAGAAAAGAAAAAGGTAACTCAGTTTTTTTAAATGAGCAAAAGACAAATAGGCACATCAAAAGAGAAAATATATGAAAACTAATAGAAGTAAAAAAAGATATTCAACATTAAAGTAAGTTACCCAGCCATTAAGAAGGATGGAGACTTTACATCCTTCATGTTCACATGGATGGAGCTAGAGAATGTTCTTCTGAGCAAAGTATCACAAGAATGGAGGAAAAAGTATCCAATGTACACACCCCTATTATGAAACTAATTTATACCTTTTATATGAAA